AGAAAGCAGGCAGGCTGAGTTGCTAACGAGCTTGCTCACTGAACTGCCTACACTTTCAATAGATTTAGATATTATTATTATTACTGTTATTATTATTTGGGAATTAGGGGTCTTTTCTCTGATAATTGTCTTACCCAGAAGAACAAAACATGTGCCTTGTTTTCTTGTTTCCTACGACCAAAGGGACGCCTTGGCTTTATATATTACAGCCCTTTGGAAATACCATGGACTCTTTCATGGCCAATCAGTGTCTATATCTGGGCTCTCCTATAAAGTTAAGCAGGGGCAGGATTTTATAAGACCCAGAGGCTCTAGTCATTTTTATGGTCAAAGATCTTAAACTCATCATGGTAGTTGATGGGTGTTGGGAAGAGCATTTGGTTTGGAATGGGTGGACCCAGGTTCTAATCACAGTTCTGCTTCTTACTGACCAAGTAATTTCCCTTCTATTGGTCCTGGTTTCTTCACGTGGAAAATGAGGAGATTAGATCAGATGACTCTAAGATCTTTTCTAGCTCTAAATCCTGTGGGAACATTTTTTGAGGGTCTTTCCAATGCAATGAAATCAAGGGGTTAGGAGCAGGCATTTTACTTCCAGATTTAGGGCTCCTTCCACTAAATAAATGGGAGAGAGGGAAAGATGAATTCTGTATTTTACTCCTTTGATTATGGGGCCTGTATGAATACAAGGTGCAAGTTGAATGGCAAGCATGGACCGCCATAAACTTGAAGGTCAAGGACTTAAAGAGAAGAGTGATGTGAATCTGAGAGGGAAGAGGGGGAGGAGGAAGAGAGAAGAGGGGAGAGAGGAAAGGCAGAGAAAAGCAGGGAAAGAGGGAGGGGGAGAAATGGTGGGAGATAAAGAGACAGAGAGGGAGGGAAGAAGAGATAAATAGACAGATACAGAGAGAGAGAAGGAGGGACAGAGGGAGAGAGAAAGAACAGACCTGGGTTCCAATTTAGCTTCAGATACTAGTATATGGCCTTGAACAAGTCACAGCGTTTATTTGCCTCGGTTTTCCCAAGTATAAAAAGAGGATAATAATAGTGCCTACCTCCCAGGGTTGTTGTGAGGATCAAACAAGATAATAATTGTAAAGCACTTAGCACGGTGCCTGGCACATTTGTTGTTGTTCATTCATTTTTTGGTTGTGTTGACCTCATGACCCTGTTTTGGAGTTTTCTTGGCAAAGATACTGGAGCAGTTTGCCATTTCCTTCTCCAGCTCATTTTACAGAAGAGGAAACTGAGGCAAACAGGGTTCAGTGACTTGCCCAGGGTCACATAACTAGTAAGTGTCTGAGGCTGGATTTGAACTCAGAGGAGTCTTCCTGACTCCGAGGCCTGTGCTCTATCGACTGTACCACCTAGCTACCCTTCCTGAAGATAGGGACTATTTTTTGTTATTGTTGTTGTTTGTCCAACATAGTTTCTGGAAGATGGCAGGTCCTTGTGGAATTGTAAGGTCATAGACTCAGATCTGGAAGAGTCCTTAGAGGTCATCTGGTCCAATTCACAGTTGAGAAATCTGGGCAAAAAGAGGGTGAATGATTTACCCAAAGTAACACAGGTCATAGGGCAGCCAGGTGACACCATAGTGAGTCAGGAAGATTCGTTTTCTTGAGTTCAAATCTGGTCTCAGACACTTCCTAGCTGTGTGATCATGGGTAAGTCCTTTTTCCCTGTTTGCCTCAGTTTCCTCATCTGTAAAATGAGCTGGAGAAAGAAATGACAAACCACTCCAGTATCTTTGCCAAAAAAAAAACCCCAGATGGGGTCACAGAGAGGTGGACACAACTGAAAAATGACTGCATAACACAACAAAAATACAGGTTGTATTTGGCAGGGTTGGGACTTGAATCTGATCCTCTTTTTCTAAATTCCAGCAATCTTTCTCCTGTACCATGAATAATGAATTCATGCAGCAATAGGAGGTTGTGTGTGTGTGTGTGTGTGTGTGTGTGTGTGTGTGTGTGTGTGTTTCATAAGTCTTCCAGCTGTCTACCAGATTATATTACAGGACAAAAAAAAACCCAGGGTAGGGCAGAGGTCATGTCTCAATTCTCTTAACCAGTCACCAGGGGCTACTATAGACACCAAAGACTTAGTGTTCAAACCATTTGAGCATTGGCCGCCTCACCTAGTCGAATGTCTGCCTCTTGTTGGTCTAGGGTCTCTTCTTTTATCTCTCTACACTTCTTTCTTAATGACCTCATCAGCTCCATGGGCTTAATTACCATCACTATGCAGATGACTGTTAGATATAGATAGACATATCCTCTCTCTCTCTCTCTCTCTCTCTCTCTCTCTCTCTCTCTCTCTCTCTCTCCATCCACCCACCTATCTATCTCTCCATCTGTCTGATGTAGTATCCTAATCTCCAAAACTATAGATATAAAATACAGATTTAGACATAGAGAGAGTACCCTAATCTCTCTCCTATGCTGCAGTTGCACATCTTCCATTTTTCGGGAAACAAGTCCACCCCGGAGTCCCACTAACACCTGAGACACAACGTGTCCAATGTAGCATTCATTTGAGGCAGCTAGATGGTGCAGTAGATAGAGAGCTGAACCTGGAGCAAGCAAGACTTGAGTTCAAGTCCAGCCAGAGACACTTACTAGCTATGTGACCCTAGATTTTACCTCTCTCAGTCTCTTCATCTGTAAAAAGGGAATTAAAAACCTACCTTATAGTGTTGTAAAAATCAAGTGAAGTAACATATGTAAAGCCCTTTGCAAACCTTAAAGTGTTATATAAATATTAATTATCATCATCATCATCATTATCATCATCGTTATCTATTTCTCCCTCCTTAAATCTGCCTTACCTTCCAATTTCTCCATTTTTATTGATGACAACACTGCTGTCCCAATCACCCAGACTTAAAACCTCAGTCATTCTCAGGGGATATTGCAGTATCCCTTTCTCTTTCTTGGCCCCCAATTGCTATTCCTTTGGATACTGTCTCTATGACATCTTGGCAATCTGTCCCCTTCTTTCTGTTCACGCTGCTGCCACCTCATGACAGGGTCTTCATGACCTCTCACTGGAGCTACAGTAAAAACCTTCTACTGTTCTTCCTGCCCCCAGTATCTCACTTCTCTATTCTGTCCTTCATGTACTCGCCAAAATAATCTTCCTAAAGCATTCCATTCCTTGGCTTAAGAAGCTTTGATGGCTCCGCTATCAACTCTTTGGCCTGGCATTTAGAGACTGTCACAGTTTAGAGTTAACCTACCTTTTAAGTCTCATTTCACATACCCCTCAAACAAACAACCATATACTTCACCTATTCTATAATCTGGGTGAAATGGACCACAAGTTCTGGGGATAGCTAAATATGGCGCCTCTATGCAGCTTCTTCTTCCTTCAAGAATCAGCTCAGGTGCCACTTTTTGCATAAAATCTCTCCTGCTGTCACCCACTCACCCCAGACCTCAGTGATGCTCCTGTTGATTATCCAGAGTGATTCCCCCTTCCCTTGTTGACACTATTCTCTCCTATCTATAACACCCTAAACCTTGTATTATTCTTACGTAGGGCTATCTTCTCTATAGCCATGGTTGATGGTATTCTCTCCTCTCTATAACACCTTGCCTTTTATCTGGTATCCTGCTGCATCCTCCCCAAACCCTTAAGTGATAGTATTCTCCCCCTACCCATAAACACCTTATCTACTATATATCTTATCTGGGGCCATGGAATATCTGCCCTATATCCATAACTGACAGTGGTCCCTCCCATATATAACAGCCTACCTTGCTCTATCTGTCTAATAGAATAGATACAGGGGTGAGGAACCTGCAGCCTTGAGGCCACATTTGGCCATTTAGGTCCTCAAATGTGGCCCTTTGACTGAATCCAAACTTCACAGAACAAATCCCTTTAATAAAAGGATTTGTTCTGTAAAACTTGGACTCAGTCAAAAGACTGCACCCAAGGACCTAGAACACCACATGTGGCCTTGAGGCCACAGATTCCTTACCCCTGGAGAAGCTACCAGGGTTAGGGACTATAACATTATGTAGAAACATATTAAAAACCTCCTCATTAGCTTCTCTAGAAGTATTAAGAAAAAATATTTCTTTGTTTTAAAAAGCCCTTTCTGAAACCCTTGCAAAGTTGGATAAGTTGGGGACGAAAAGGGCTTTTCTTAGAGAAATGGATTAAGGGAGAAGTGTTGTTGTTCAGTCATGTCTAATTCTTTGTGACCCCATTGGAGTTTTCCGGGCAAAGGTACTGGAGTGGTTTGCCAATTCCTTCTCCAGATCATTTTACAGATGAGGAAACTGAGGTAAACAGGGTTAAGTGACTTGCCCAGGGTCACACAGCTAGAAAGTGTCTGAGGCCAGATTTGAACTCATGAAGATGAGTTTTCCTCATTCCAAGCCCAGTGCTCTGTGCACTATGGCACCACCTAGCTGCCCAAGGGGGCGATAACCAATCTTTTTACAAGGAATAACTCTTCTTATTTACATCATTGTCTTCTCTACCGCTAAAGGACCCACCTAAGGGAAATGTCCTCTACTCCTATGAAAAGGAGGCAGCCTCATGCCCTTTATTCAGAAAAAGATTCTCCATCTTGATATCCCATCCTTCCCACTAGGTAATGGGATGGTGACTTGGTTACATAACAATTCTGGATCACAAACGCCAACTGTATTGTTATATATTGAGATCATTGTTTTGTTCAAGATTCTGATAAAGGTTACCTAAAATTAGCTTGGGGCAGAAAGTTATGTCAATAGAATGGAGGACTATTACAGTTTGGACATCTTTCCCTCCAAACTAGAAATATCTGTATATTAACTTAATGTTAAATAAAATAAAATCGTTTCTGGTAGATGAACCTAAAACATGTGGTACAGTATTAATGTTAATGGTTTTTCTTCAATAATTGTTATCTATGACTTCCCAGTGCTTAGCACAGTGCCTTGTACCTAGTAGGGTTTTAAGAGGTTCACTGAATTAAATACAAGGGAGATAATGGGACCAACCTGCTGGCAGAGTAGAAAACTCCACAAAGGCCTCCTTCTTTTCTCTTTGCTCCAGAGGAAGCTGCCACGGCATCTGGTGGGGTTTCGCCAAAACCTTCACTTTGTAAGCCATGTTGGGCTTCAGGTTAAAAAACTGATACTTATACCTTGCAGCCTTGACGATGTCAAACTCCTCCTCATTGAGAAAGATGACGTGGCTGTAATTGCTGTTGGTTGGGAGCCAGGAGAGCTCAGCTGAAATCTGAGTGATGTGGTCTACCCGTAAGTGGGAAGGGGCCACGATGACATCCTTGCCCACGAGCAAGGTGCACTGGAGCTCGTCCGACTTTCCCCGGTTTGTGATGCTCTGCACGGAGATCCGGTATGTGCAGGTTGCAATGTTCAGCTTTTCAATCAGGGCTTTAGTTCTGCTCCCCAGGGTGAGATTCATGCGGGTCTCGTTGTCAACAAGGACATTGTAGCTGATCACTGTCCCCCATCCTGGTGGCACAGCCGGGGGGTCCCAGCCCACAATAACACTTTTGGCTAGTTGTTTGATAAGGGTGATTCGTCTAGGGTAAGGCACAATGTCTTCTCCAATCTCGTCAATGTTCACATCCAGCGTCCCAGCCCCATTTTTGATGAGGCTGGAGTCTCCTTGGGTGGGCGAATTCAGATCTAGGATGCTTTCTCCTTCCAAGCCCACACCAGAATGGTTGATAAAATTCTGATCCTGTTCACTCCCCAGTGTGTTGGCCAAGCGGGATTCATTATCCTGGACAAAATCCACAAAGTTGGAAGGGACCAGTCCTCTCTGTCCATCTAGTAGTTCTCCTGTTGAGGACAAAGAACAGCATCACCCCACAATGAACATAACTGGTGTTTTGCCTTGCCTTGACACAGTTTGTTTTGATACATTAGCTAGAAACACATTAGGAAGGTTGAGAACCAGGGAGGCATTATTTCTAAAAATGGCCCCAAAGGATAGACAAACCCTGAATTCCTGGGAAGTTCATACGGTTAGATAACATATGATCGTTTGAACAGCTTTTCTAGCCTTATGAAACCTTGCTTTCTCCCACCTATTCTGCCATCCAGTGACACTGCTCTCCTTACTTTTTCTCTAACAAGACACCCCCTCCCCTAATTCCAGGCATTTTTACTGTCTGTCCCTCATACCTGGAATTTTCTTCCTTCTCATCTCTGACTCTCACCTTCCTTCAAGTCCCAGCTAAAATCCTACCTTCTACAAAAAGCCTTTCCTGATCTTCTTTAATGCTAGTGCCTTCTCTCTGTTGATTATTTCCTTTTTCCTTTTTTAGGCAATTGAGGTTAAGTGACTTGCCCAGGGTCACACAGCTAGTAAGTGTTAAGCGTTTGGTCTGAGGTCAGATTTGAACTCAGGTCCTCCTGACTTCAGGGCTGGGTGCTCTATCCACTGCACCATCTAGCTACCCTGATTATTTCCAATTTATTAAATATATACTATGTATTACATATATACTCTATATACATATATTATTGTGTGCATATCCCTCTTTTGATTATTTTCCATTTATCATATCTATTATATACATATTTCACATATATTATATATGTACATACTGTATATATCCCTCTGTTGATTATTTCTAATTAATCATATAGACACACATACATGTATTGTACATTTACTGCACATATATTGCATATGCATTGTTAATAATTACAATTTATTGTATATACCATATATACTTCATATATACTATATGTGTATATACTGCATATATCCTTTTTGGCTTATCACATATACTGTATATATACTTTGTGTGTATGTATATACCACTCTTGATTATTTCCAATTTATCATATATACTGAATATACTGCATATATAAGGGGTATATACTGTACACACAAATATGATAAATTGGAAATGATATATACATCTTGTTTGCACATATTTTTTTGGATGTTTTCTCTCCCCATTAGACTTTTGAGCTTCTGGAGAGCTGAGATTTTATTTTTTGGTTTTCCTTTGCTAAGAATCCCCAGCATTTAGCATAGCGAATAATGACTTAATAAATGTTTTTTGAGCTGTCTACTTGACAGAAGGTCTCTAACTAGGACCCTGCCCAAAGACATTGAAGTTTAGAAGGCTCAGGTGACGTTTATACTCCTTCATCATCTTCATCATCATCACTGATGACCATCACATGATCTGGGGCAAGCTCTTTTAACTTTTGAGTTCCCTCATCTGTCAAACGAGGGAGCTGTATTGGATGGTCTCTGTTTCTAGGTAGGTGATCCTACGATCCTAAGTCATGTCACCTCCACTGAACCTCAGTTTCCTTATCTGTAAAAGGAGATGGTTGGACTAAATGGCCTTTGAGGTCCCTTCCAGGTAAATTGATGACCCACCTAGAAACAAAACTAAGCTCAGCAACTAATGAGCAAGAAGACTGCAGCCCTCCTTTTTTCAAAGGAATTTTTCTTTTAAAGCGGATGGAGGCGATGTTTCATTCTGTTTGCTCTAGGGGAGGTTTCTAGGAAGTTCATGCTGGGTGCCCAAAGTGCTTGTTATAGCTTTGTTGAGCAGTAATGTAAAATGCAATTAAAAGCTGAAACACACACTGATTTTTTTCCCATGGTAAAAACAAGCATACGAATGCTGCCTTTTAATCCTCTTATTCGATACATCAGTTCTTCATGGATCTCTGGCACAGGTTTTCTTTCTACCGATGAAGAGCACAGACCCTCTATGACATTGTAAATGGTATTCAGGAGTTTCCAAAGGATGAAAAAAATCCTTCACCCTTCAGCCAACCCAGCAAGGAGCCTCTCAGACCTTAGCTAGGAGTGGATGACAGTGCAGTGGAAAGAGGGCTGGGTCTAGAGCTAGGGCAGCAGAGTTCAAGTCTCACCCTTGACACTTACTGCCACTAGCCTAAACACCTCAGTTTCCCTGATCTGTAAAATGGGGGCTATTAACAGCACCTCCTTCACAGGGTTATCGTGTATATGTGGAGTGCTCTGCATATCTTAAACGGCTATGTAAATGTTATGTATTATTAAAGAGGTAGGGACTAATCCTGTGGTTTGATTGGTATAGGGAACTTCCAGGTGAGGAAACTGTTTGTGCCAATGCAGTCTGTCACTTTCTTTTCCACTTAGAGTCTCCCAGAGTGACCTAGAGCTTTGTTGTTCAGTTGTGTCCAACTCTTTGTGATCCCATTTAGGGTTTTCTTGGCAAAGATGTTGGAGTGGTTTGCCATTTCCTTCTCCAGCTCATTTTGCAGATAAGGAAACTGAGGCAAACAGGGCTAAGTGACTTACCCAGGGTCACACAGCTAGTAAGTGTCTGAGGCCAGATTTGAACTCAGGAAAATCAGTCTTCCTGACTTCAGGCCCGGCACTCTATCCATTGTGCCACTTAGCTGGCCTGGCCTATAGCACAAAGAGGTTAATCAATTTGTGCAGGGGCACACAATCAGTATATGTTGGAAGCAGGACTTGAACCCAGGTCTTCCTAATTTTGAGGCCATCTTTCTAGTCACTGTGTCACACTGTCTTGATATTTATTATTGCTGTTGTTCAGCCCTATCTGACTGTTTGTGACCCCATTTGGGGTTTTCTTGGCAAAGATGTGGGAATAGCTTGCCAGTTCTTCTCTAGCTCATTTTATAGATGAAAAAACGGAGGCAAACAGGGTGGAAGGGACTTGCCCAGGGTCACGCAGCTAGTAGGTGTCTCAGGCTGGATTTGAACTCACAAAGATATGTCTTTCTGACTCCAGGCCTGGCGCTCTATCCACTGAGCCACCTACCTGCCTATTAAGGAAAGAAACTGAACTATATGGCCTCTGAGGCCTTGGATCTATGACCTTGTCTGTCCCCTGGTCCTATTCTTGGAAATAACTACCAGAACTGGTGCTTTGCTAGCATAGCCTGTGGGTCACCTCCATACAATGATGTGGCATCAGTTTAGAACTTTGTTAATATCCAATAAAAATATCTGGTGGGAGCAGAGAAGGTTTCAACCAAATCCTCTATGGAAAAATTCAGTGAAAAAAAATGATGTCAAAAGGACATCCATTTGCTAGCAATATGACCTTGGGAGGTTACTGGACTTCATTGTTCTCGTCTGTAAAAATGGAGGGTTCAACTAGATGGCTTTTGAGGTCCCTTACAGCTTTAAATCTTTGGTCCTATGACCTGTGGTATTATAATCCTGATCTCCATTGGCTTCTTCCCTAATTAGGGTGAAAGGGATTAGACATCTGATTTCTTTAGCATAAGGAACTTCCAGATAAAAAAGAAATCTCCCATATGAGGAGAATCCCTTTATCAATGCAGGTCATCATCCCTTCTCTACAACATATGATCTTTCAGAATTGCCCAGTGTACTAATAAGTTATGTGACTTGTCCGAGGTCACATAGCTACTATGTGTCAAAGGCAGGATTTGAACCCATAACTTTTTGGCTCTCTATCAGATATGCCCCCTTGCCTTTCTTCTCACTATTCATTTTATCCCCACTGCTTGACTTATAACAGAGGCCTTGAAAGAGCTGTGAAGATGGCATCATTGATCATATTAAAGAGGCAGTTCAGCCCTCAACTCTCCATCTTCCCAAAAGGGAAGCAGAGGTCCCCCCTAGACATGAAAGGGTTTTGCCATCGCGAAAGATGTCTGGAAGCAAAATGACACCATGGCATCAGTAAAATTCTGAGTTAATAGTGTTGTTCCAGCTATGAAGAGATATTTCCATCAAATGCAAATCAGTAGGCAGATAACAACAACAACAATAATAAACTAGCATTCATGTAACACTTTAAGATTTGCAAAGCACTTTATATATGATCACGTTGGATCATTACAACAACCCTATAGGTGCTATTATTAGCCCATCTTACAGATGAGAAAACTCCAGGTCCAGCCCTCCATCCACTGTACCATCTAGCTTCCCATCTAGATATGGTATATGGAGTAGGTAATCTCAGAGGAGAAAGTAGCAGCAGCTGGGGGACTGGGAAAACACCCTCTGAGGAAGGTGAGATTTGAGATAGTTCTTAAAAGATGAGGAAACTGAATCACATAGAGGGGAGTGACTTGCTCCAAAGTCACAATGGGAGTAAATAGAAAAGCAACTGGAAGGAACAGCATCCTTCAGGCAAAGCTTTGACTCAGACTCGCTAGGTCATAGGCATGGAGAGAAGAACAGATCCAGAGTCTGTCTTCAGATGTCTTCTTCATTGTTTGATGCACCAGAGATATTCAAGGTTGGCTAGATATCTGAGACGCAGGAAGCATGGGATATGACAGGTGACAGACTAACATTTGAGCTCAAGGTAGGTTCCTGGCAGGCTCTGGATGTGGTGGCAATATTTCCAACCTCCTTATAATTAGCCCCCTGGGCTTAAGATTGGGTCAGTTCAAAGCCATCCCTGTCCTTGGTCCTGACTGTTCAGTGAGGACCATATAGATATTGCTACCACTTACCATTCTTACAGTTATGGGGATGCCATGGGCACCCATGTGTTTAGATTTCAACAGTGACTAAGGAGGGCTTCCCATGCAACCAAAGTGCTGCTCATTGGCAGTTGTCCTTGGGCATGGATCCCATGTTCCTGCGTGAATCAATACCAGAATGGTCATTTATGCCAAGGACTCACTTTTTGCTACCAGCTGCCTTGGAATTATTTTGAAGATTGAAACAGAAACACTGCGCTAAAAAGTGAACAGGTTCTCAGGAAGTGAATCAGCAAGCCTTCAGAATTACCATGCACAAGGGCCAACAGAGATGACTTGAGAGTGTGCTCAAAACCTTCTAGGGTGTTTCAGCCAAGATGCACCAAGAAAGAGTGGTCAGGCTAGAAAACAGGGGTCTGTTTGTATGGTTCCGAACCAAAGGCACTGTGTGTTGTTTCCCAGCATTTCTATTAGCCCAGGCAAACTGGAAGAGATGGTTGGTTTCTTAGGTTTTAATTGAATAGTTTAGGGAATCAATTAACCAAACCCTCTGACTGCTAATCCATCTAGCTAATGTTACTAAGTTTACTTGCTTCTCTCCTATTTCTAAAGCAGAAAGTGTGACAAATGTATAAACCATTTTAGAGAACTTCAGAATCACATAATGGGTCAGAGTTGACCAGGACATCATAGCATTTCAAATCCAACCCCTTCCTTTTTTTTTGCATCTTTTAAAAATATTTTATTTTCCCTACTTACATGTAAAAATAATTTTTAACATTCATTTTTTAAAAAACTTTGACCTCTGACTTCTCTCTCTCCCTCCTCACTGAAAAGGCAAGCAATTTGATATAGGTTATACATATGTAATCATGTGAAACATATTTCCACATTACTCATATTGCGATAGAAATACCCCCCCCCCCAAAAAAAAAAAGCCTCAAGAAAAATAAAGTTAAAAAAAAGTTTTCTTCTATCTGTTTTCAGACTCCATCAGGCATTTCTCTGGAGGTGGATAGCATTTTTCATAAATCCTTTGGAATTGTCTTGAATCATTGTATTACTGAGAATAGCTAAGTCATTCACAGCTGATAATCATACACTATTGCTATTACTATGTACACTCTTCTGGTTCTGCTCACTTCACTTTGCATCAGTTCATGTAAGTCTTTCCAGGTTTTTCTGAAAGCATCCTGCTTGTCATTTTTTATAGTACAATAATATTCCAATCCAACCCATCCCTGAGCAAGAATCCTCTCAATAAGATTGAAGAAAAGTTTTGCCTGAAAACCTCCAATGAGGGGGAGTTAGCTACCTTTCAGGACAACCAAGTCTATTTTTGTTTGCCTCTGATTGTTTGGAAGTTTCTGCTCAAATGGATCTAAAATCTACTTCTCTGTAATTTGTACCCATTATTTATAATTCTGTCTTCTGGAGCCAATTAAAACAAATCTGATCCCTTTATCATATGGTATCCCTTCAAATCATTTGAGATATCTTTAATACTCCTTTTTTCCCCTCAATGCTTCTCTTATCTGGTCAAAATATCCCATTTCTTTCACTGATCCATATAGCATGAGCTTGACATTCTCTATCAATGACATGGTCCTTCTATGGATATTGTCCAACTTATCAGCATCCTTTCTAAAATGCTGTGCCCACAAATGAAAGCAATGCCCCAGATGAGGCTGTCCACTCTTTTGGTTGGAAATAGTCTAGAAGAAAACATCACTGATTTTTCACCCCAGGACTGTTGGCCATTTCCATAGTTCTATTATTTCTATGCAACAACTATATGTAGGACTCAGAAGTATATTCTTCCTTGAATCTGGGACATGTTACACAGATGTATGCTCTGACGTGGCATGGGGGAAAAATCAGCTCTGAAGGTAAAGAAAGAACTGGCTGAGGAAACCCTGATGGTCTAATTCTGTTGAATTCCCTTAAGTCTTAAACTTGTGATTTCCATACTGTGATAACCAACCCCTAGTGATCCATGGAGTTATTGGGTGCAGTGGATAGAGCACTGGGCCTGAGTTCAAATGCCTCAGACACTATGTGTGACTCTAAACAGGTCACTTGACCACTGTTTGCCTCAGGTTTCCTCAATTATGAAACGGGAATAGTAGCAAGTACTTCCCAGGGTTGTTGTGAAAAGCAAATGATATAATATTTGTAAAGTGTTTAGCATAGTGCTTGGAACACAGTAGGTGCTTAATAAATGCTTATTTCCTTCCTTACTTGAAATCCATTGATGAATCCATAAACAAGCAAACATACCTTCTGCAGTCTGAGTAAATAGGACGTCTTACACATGTGTGTATTACTACTTTTCAAAGTTACATAGGTTATTGAGACAGTATGGTATGTATAGGGTGCTAGTCAGAAGTCAGAAAGACCTGAATTCAAATCTAGCCTTTGACACTATTTGAGTAATCACAGACAAGTGAGTTAATGCCCCTGAAACTTAGGCAACTCAGTAGTTACCATGTTATAGATGCCTTGGGAGTAGAGAGGGGTGGAGTTCCCACACTTTTATTCACCCATGTAGATTCTATCATTATTATTGATAACAAAAAGTCCATTTAAAAGCATTACTAAATTCAGGAGACTTTCTAAGACTCTTAGTTGCAAAGTAGATATACTGGTGCCTTGGTAGAGGCAGCTTCCTTACTTGGGGAAGGGGTGAAGTTCCCTTTTTGTTTTTGTGAATTTGACTGGTGATTTCATTGTTGTATGGCCAGATGAAGACAGGACAGTCTACCATCCAGATCTATAGCTGTACTGCTATTTATAAGCATCGATGAAAGTACTTTCTCCAAAGTCATCAGTGATCCTTGATTGCCCAATATAAAGACCTTTTCTTAATCTTCACCTTTCTTGACCTCTCTTTAGCCTTTGACACTGTCAACCACTCTCTTTTCCTGGATACTTTCTTTTCTCTAGATTTTCATGACACAACTCTCTCCTGGTCCTCCTTTTCTCTGACTGCTCCTTCCCAATCTCCTTTGCTGGATCTTCATCCAGGTCATACACACTCATCATGGCTATCCCTCGAGGCTCTGTCCTTGCCCTCTTCTTTATATCCCTCTATGTTCTTTGGTTGATCTCATCAGCTCCTGTGGATTCAACTATCTTCTCTATATAGATGATTCTTAGATATATTTATCCAGCCCTGAATTGTCTCTTGCAACCTAGTCTCATATCTTCAATTACCTATTGAATATCTTCGAGTAGATGTCCTGAAGACATCTTAAATTCAACATGTACAAAACCAAGCTTATTATTTTCTTCCCTTCCCTTCTTCCTGATTTTTCTACTACTATGAAGGGTGACATTGTCTTCCATCATCCAGACTTAAAATTTAGGTGTCATCCTTGACTCCTTGGTCTCTCTCACTCCTCAAATCTAAGCTGTTGCCAAGTCCCGCCAATTTTACCTTAATAACATTTCTCACATATGCCTCCTTTTCTCCTCTGATACTTCTACTTTGCTGGTGCAGGCCCTCATCACCTCATTCTGGCACTGTTGCAATAACCTGCTGATAGGTCATCCTGATTCAAATCTCTCCCCACTCCAGTCCATCCTCCATTCAGCTGCCAAAGTGCAGGTATGACCATGTCAGCCTATATTCAACAAACTCTAGTGACTCCCTATTACCTCTAGGATCAAGCAGCAGATCTTCTGTTTGGCATTTAAAGTCCTTTATAATTTGGCCCCTTCTGATCTTTCTGGTCTTCTTGTACTGTAATCCTCACCATGTACTCTGAGATCCAAGGCCAAAGACACCCCATCTTCCAAGACACGGAGCCCTTCACTGGCTGTCCCTGGTACCTGGAATTCTCTCCTTCCTTGTCACTGTCTCCAAATCTCCATTAAAATTCCACTTTCTGTAATTAGGCTTTCTTGGACCGTCTTAATGCTAGTACCTTTCCTCTATTGATTATCTCCTATTTGTCTTGTATATTTATGTGCATGTCGTTGTTTATATGTTATTTCCCCTGTTAGACTCTGAGCTTGTTAAGAGCAGGGACTGTCTTTTGCCTTTCTTTGTATCCCCACCACTTAGCAAAGTGCCAGACCCATAGTAGGGGCATAATAAATGCTTGTTGACTAACAGCCTCCCAAACCTTCTGAATCTGCTTTCTTAAAATTTGAAAGAGTTGTGTGATGTGAGAATTAAGGGACATAAGAAAAGGCTTCTTGTAGAAGGGGATGCTTTAGCAGGTGCTTGAAGGGATCCAAGGAAGCCAAGAGGTAGAAATGGGAAGGGAAAGGATTCCAGGCACGGGGGACAGTCAGTCAAAAAGCTTTCAGCCGGGAGATGAAGTGTCTTGTGTGAACAAAAGCAAGGAAGCCAGTGTCACAGGATCTCAGAGTACGTGGTAGGGTGAACAAGGCATAAAAAGACAGGAATGGCAGGAAATGGTTCCTGCTGCCCCTGGGAAATTATGTTTGGTTAAAGAGCTTCATATCAGAGAAACCTATGAAGATTTGTATGAAACGATGAGGAGTAAAGTGAGCAGAACCAGAACAATGTCTATAATAATATTGTAAAGCAACTTTGAAAGACGTGACTGATCAATGATGACAACACACAATGTCAGAGAACTCATAATGAGGCATTCTACCCACTTTCTGAAGGAGGAGAGGTGGATTCAAGATGAAGAATGAGACATAAACTTTTGGAGAAGGCCCATGTGGGACTTTTTGTTGTTGTTATTCCTGACTATGCCTATTTGTTAGTAGGATTTCGTTTTCATTGTAATTTTTGTTTCAATTGGAGTGGGTTGATAGGGAGAGAAAATAACTACTTATTAATTGAAATACAGTAAAAGATAAATAAAGAATATAATAACCTTCATAGAATCCGTCTTCATCCATGTCACCATATACATAGAGGTATTTTCCTGCTGTGAGGGGGAGTTCAGCTTCCGGGTTTTCATTTGGTCCATCAAAGGGGTTGTAACTAGTATAAAGCAAATTTAGAACAAATCAATGCAGGAATTTGAATTTCATCCAAACTTCTCCTTCTTAGAGTCACTTCTTATCTTCACTCAGATCAATGAATCGTAGCCAGATATGGCAGAATCGGGGGATTTCTAAATGGAAAGGAACCACATTATGTCCTTCTTAATCTTAGTACCTTCCTCTGTGAGCCAACTCCAGTTTATCCCGTGTATATCCTGTTTGCACATATTTTTTACATGTTGTCTCCCCTCAGTGGACCAGGTTCTTCACGGGCAAGGACTGCTTTTGCTTTTCTTTGTATCCCCAGCATTTGGCAAAGTACCTACTGCATAGTAGGCACCCGGTAAGTACTAGTTGCCTGATTGTTTGACTCAGAGGAAATCATGGCCAGCCTCCACCTGAACAAGAATCCTTTCTAATGGAATACTTGACAGGTAATCATCTAGCCTTTAGTGGAAAACCTCCATTGAGGGGGCACTCACCATCTCCCCCGATAGAGCATAAGCTCCTTGAGGGCAGGGGCTGTCTCCTGTCTCTCTTTGTATCCCCAGGGCTTGTGTGCCTGGCACATAGGAGATGCTTAATAAATGTTTATTGATTGAATGATTGTTTGACCTCAAAGGAGCCCATTTTCCTTTTAGATAGCTCTAATTATTAGTAAATCTCTCCTCATATCAAGTCTAAATTTGTCACTTTATGGAAAACTTTCACCTGTTGATCTTAACTTTATGGGATCAAGTTGAATAAGCTATTTAATCTCTCTCCAATATAATATACCATCAGATATTTGAATACAACTCTCGGGTCCTGCATAAGTCTCCTCTTCTCTAGGATCAATGCTCCCAATTCATTCCTCATATGGCATGACTTATAGCGCCTTCAAAATCTTGGCTGCCTCCCTCCTCCGGACCTCCCTTAGTTTATCAATGTTCATCCTAAGATGAACACAATGCCCAACATGTGCTTGGGCTGGGACAGAACAAAAGGGGGCCATCATCTCCTAATTCCTGGACATTCTTCTTCCCCAAATACAACCTAAGCTCACATTAACTTTTAGGTTTCCACATTTCACTGTTTACTCACATTGAAATTGGAGCCCACTAAAATCCCTAGACCTTTTTCAGACAAAATTCTGTCTAACCACATTTCCCCCGGGGAAGTTGATCTTTTGAACCCAAGCGTGAGACCTTATATTTCTTCCTATTACATTTCCTCTTATTGAGCTTCGTCCAATGCTTTTGCCTGTCAAGGTCTTTTTAATTCCTGGCTGTGTGGCCAATTATGTTAGCTAGCCTCCTCAGCTCTGTGCTTTCTGAGAAACAAGTTCTCTTAACTGAGTCCTGAAGCCTTTGTATCTGATATTGGATGCATAATATTGAAATCCCCTGAACTGTCTGTGCCAGCTCACACTTCCGCGCCTTTATACAGGCTTTCTTGCATTCCGGATATCCTTCAAGGCTTAGTTCAGGTACCAACTCCTCTGTGACACCTTCCCTGATTCCCCTTTAATTGTTAACGCTCAAATCTGCTTCATAATGCAGTTGTGTATTTGCGTTCATGTTGTATCCTTTGGTAATAGAATACAACCCCCTTGAGGGCATGGATTTGAGATGCTCAGATTTAGAGTCATCTCCCTCCTTAGTGGTTATACAGACTATCTGTGCCCAACCTGTGGTAGAGCCTTCTGAGCTTGTATTCATATGATCAGTCACCACTGGACACAGTATACATCGACCCCAACATCGTGATGTCATTTGGGTCTTCTTCAAGCATTAAGGATAAATAACAACAACCTCTTGTTTGCATCTCAACACAGTGCTTTGTATATAAAAGGTGCTTAATAAATGCTTCTATGGCTGGTTCCCGTTCACCATCCCTTTGACTTTCCCCCACAAAAAAAAATACCCCTCCCTGGCCACCATCACTCCCTTAAATATTTTTATTCTCAAGGACTATGTTATTTTTGGATTTGTGTACTTAGAGTTCGGCATATTACCTGATATATAGTAAGTACTGAATAAATACTTTCTGTCTCTGTCTCTCCTCTCTGTTTCTGTCTGTCTGTCTGTCTCTCTTCTCTCTCCTCTCTCTGTCTCTATCTGTCTCTCTCTCATCTATTTACCAAAAAAACCTGATCTTTAAGTACATATCATTCAAGGACAGAGAGGAGAAAATGGCAATAATAGCCAACTTGGGAATAAACCGACAATATTCTAGAGTCAGCAGCTGAAACCTGCGTTCTCCTCAGTACTCAAGCTGAAAAACAGAAATCAGTCAGATGGGGGGTGGGGGAAGAGTGGAAGTGCTATTGCCATAGAGGAAGCCTGATGGGTACAGGGCATGGGTGAAGCAGTTTCTAAGTTCTATGGGCCTATGCACCTATGAGCTGTGACCACCCTCTGGAAAGAGGGCCAAAAAAAGGGAAAGAACTCTGAGCTGACCAAAACTCCCATTCCCAGCAGCTTATTTGGAAATAAGTGTCAGCTCATAGAACCACAGATCTAGAAGTAGAAGGGACCTTTGAAGTCATCTACACCAATCCCATCCCCTTGTACATGAAGCCTTTCCTGATTTCCCCCAGTTGCTAGGGGGAATATATATAGCCAGATCCTGATTAGTGTGAAAAACAAATTCCATGTCATGGTTATATGTATTCAAATTCCTACTATTTGAAGTTATAATTATGTAAAATATGGTCATTGGGCTCTAGCCCAAAGGAAAACATCTAATGGGAGTTTGTACAATGTACCCACCTCAGAAGATTCCTTATTTGCACTATGGGACATTCAGATGTAACTAGTATTTATGTATTGGTTTCATATAGACATATTGTCAACAAAGACATGTCTATCCCAAAAGAATGTGAGCTCCTCGAGGGCAAAGACTATTTCTTTTTGTCTTTTTGTCTGGATCAAATGAGATAATATTTGTAAAGCACCTTAGCACATTGCCGGGTACCTAGTAGGTGATATGTGTGTGTATGCGTATGTAGATATGTGTGTATGTATGCATATACGTACCGTGCATATATATATATGTGTATATATGTACATTATATATGCATGTTTGTATATATATACATATATATTTTTTTTCCCTTCCCTGTCCCCCTTCATTATTATCTTTCTAGCACCTAATGTGGCATATAGTAGGCACACCTAACAAATACTAGTTGATTTTACAGATGAGGAAACTGAGGCCCAGAGAGATTGAGTGGCTTGCCCAAGTCATGAGGGTCGTATACAAGGCAGGATTCATACCCAAACCCTGTGACTCCAGAGTCAGTATCTTTTCACAGTATCATGCTTTTCCCCATCAGACTTTTTCAAGATTTCCTATTTAATTGCTGGTACTCCCTTTCTAAGCAAAACCAATTTTCCAGGTAGCATCTTTGCTGAGCTTGTTGAGTTTAAGCAGATGTGCACAATCTCTTCGCCAGCCCAACCCTGTGGGGTGCATTTCATGCGCCATCCACATTTGTTTTTCTACATTACTTGGGGGTGAAGAGGCGAGAAAACAATCATAAAAACCTCGCTGATGAAATATCGACAACAGTGAAGCAACTTTAAGTGGGAGACAACTCCTGAGAATTGTGTTTGGTTATCCACTGCAACTTAGTAATTAAAGTTTAATAAATAAATTAATGGGGTAATTGTATTTTATTTTTGCCTGGTTTCCTGCTGGCCGGGAAGCGATTGGCAAGCTGAAGAAGCCTTTAGCACCTGCTCCTAAAATGGTCTCTTCCCTCTCTGGGGGATGTGAAGTTAATTCGAGCCTGGCAGGGGGCTGTGTGTTTCCCTGAGTTTCCATGTTTTGTGTTCCGGCTGTGCTGTATCAGGCCCATTAGTGGGAAATGGGACAGGTTTAGCTGGCCCAGTGTGTGCTGGAGGAAACAAGGCTTTGTGATAATGTTCTCTCAATGTATCAACTCAGCGCCTGCCTATCACCCTTGAAGTACCCAGAGCATCACTGCATAGCTGGGCTGCAAAAATGTTTGGATGGCTGCTGTCTCTTTGTCGTTGGTATCTCCTGTAAGGTTGTGGCAGGACCAGGCCCCATCCCCTCTTGGAGAGGAGGCACGAGGCCTCCCTGGGCTGTTTGTTGGCCTCTCCCCTGCTGTTCAAAGCCCCAGATAATGGAAGACTTGGCAAATAGGTCAAATCACCTAGCCGCACTGTCTTTGTGGAGTCATGGAATGTCATTTTGGAAGAGAGCTGTAGAAATCATCTAATCAGCCCCCCTCATGTTACTCATTAGTCAACAAGCATTTATTAAGCACTTAATATATGCCAGACTTCTATGGATAACCTGAATTAGTGCTTCAGAAAAATTGCTGAGTACAGGATCTGGAGTCTGAGGATCTGAATTTGCATTCTAACTGTATGACTGTGGCTAAGTAACCTAACTTTCCTAGACTTTGTCAATTCTCCCAACTATAAAATGAGAGTGATGGGTTAGATGACCAAGTTCCCTTCTGCCTCTAAATCTACTTTGCTCTTTGTATCAGGCTGAAGAAACAATAATGATGGGGAAGGGAGGGGTGAGGAGAGAAGTTTCTGTTTTTTACCTGTAGCGGGCAACACACAGATGAACCTTCCCCGAGTATTTCTGCTTTGAGGTATTGGAATTCCGTTCATTATCCATCTATTAAAAACACAGTGAATTCTTTGGTTGATGAGGCTGTTATGTATGAGAGCTCAATGTTACAAACCCATGAGAGTTCCCATTCCTGACCCTGTATTTTCTCCACTTACACCAGAAAAATGACCTAAAAATTATGGCATTTCCCATATTCTTTTGATGTCCTCATAATCCTTAAATTTGTTAGGGGTTCAAAAGATGCTTTCTATATCTAAAGCCTAGACTTTTATCCTGAAGCTGAAAATCATGAACATTTAAGCATAACAAAAACTGACTGCAGCCTTCAGTATTCTCAAGCTAAGAGCCAACTCAAGACTGGGGACTTCCCACAGGGCAACAGGATATTTGCCTGGTCCTTTGGGAGGCACTACTGAATTTTGAGACTTTTTTCTTTTATGGAGTTTTAATTGATGTTTCCTGTTTCTTATATCACCATAGAATCCCATGTATCCTCCCCCCTCCCCCTCCCTGAGAGCCATCCCATATAACGTGGTTGGGTGGTTGGTTGGTTTAAGAGAGGGGGGAAATCAGCATAACTAAGTCTGAAAATATGTGCAATGTATAATACCTGTAGACTCCCCCACTTCCACCAAGGGGTAGGTTGGAGGTGTCTTCTCATATCTCTTCATTTGAATCTCACTTGATCTTTATAATTTTGTTACATTTATTTTTCGTTTTTTGGTGTGTCATTATTCTTTCCATTTATATTGTAGTTACTGACTTTGGGTTTTTTTGGGGGGGGGATGGGAGAAAGTGGCAGTAGTTGGACAATTAAACTTTGCAAGATTTCTCTGGGATTTGTATATTCACTTGGTGGATATTGTCCAACTAAAACCACCACAACAATCTCTTCGTCTCCCCTCCCCTGCCAAGATTAGCAATGTTTTCAGATGAACCACTAACTGGTTCCTAATTCAGCATGAAGACATTATCCCAGCAGTCCAGAAACTCCTACTGTCAGTCATATATAATTATATATATGCAGTATATATGTACACACACACACATATATAATACACACACACACATATGTATATGTAATACCAGCAATGTTATACTCCTCATTGTAAAAGTCTGAGAGTCTAGTTAAAGGTTTAAAATATATAAGCAAAAACCACTCTGGAGCCATGACTTCATCCCAGTGGGGAAACTTTCTTCAGAATTGTAAATTGGCAAATTGTTTGTAATTAAAGAGTAGCCTAAAGGAACCAGGAAGGTCCCAGAATCAATGTGTCAGAGGCAGTATTTAAACCCATTCTTCCTGACTCCAAGGCCAGCCCTCTACTACCAAAATCCATACTTACTTCCATAGTTCTTCCTTGTTCTACATAGTATTTTTATAAAATTGTTCCTTTGCATACTCATTCCTCACAGAGATTGGGACTTGGAAGGGGCTCTTCTGACAAGGATATAGGTATTATTTAGATAGAACAGCTATGTGTGGAGTGGTGTGAAAGGCAGCATATGTAAGGATGGGATCTATTAGATAAAGGGAAGAAGGAAAGGAGGGAGAGAGGAAGGAGGGGAGAGAGGGATGGAAGAAGGAGAGAAGGAAGAGAAAGGGAAGGGGAAGGAAAGAAGAAAGTGAAGGAAGAAGGAAATGAAGGATGAAATCATAGAATCATAAAATTCAGGAGTTGGAAGGGATTTCAGTGGCCATCCCATAAACAAAAGGAAACCACACTATAATGTACCCAACAGGACAGGAAGGAAGAAAGAAAAGGGGAAGGTAAGAAGGAAAAGGGAGGAAAGAAAAAAGAAGAAAGAAAGAGAAAAGAAAGGAAGAGGGTGATAGGGATGTTCAGGTGAGGAGTGGGGAAAGAAGGGAGAAAAGGAAGGAAGGATGGGAGAGAAGGAAACAGAGTGAAAGAGTGAGAAAAAACAGGGAGGAAGTAAAGGAAAAAGGGGGAGATGAGGTAATGGAAGAATGAAGGAATATTGAGGGAGTAAAGGAAAGAAGGGAAGGAGAAAAAGGAAGAGGAAGGAAAGAAGGAGGAAAGGAAAGAAGAAGTGCAAAGGAAAAAAAAACTAGGGAAGAAAGGAAAAAAGAAGGAAGGGAAGAAAAGGCAAGGGAAGGAAGAGAAGATGCCTCCTTCCTGAATTTAGTAGTACAAGTCATAATAGGACTCACGTCTGATTCAAATCTGCATCCTGGGCTGCCAGATCTTGACCTGGATAGAAAAGTAGGTTTGACAGACAGTGGTTCAGGTTTGTCACTGGAGAGTGGTCGGGATCGAATAAATTCAGCAATCACAGAATGACTTCCAGAAGTACTGTCCTGACCTGGCCATGAAAATAAAATAAAAAAAAATAGAGAAAAACAAAATCTGAAACACACATGTATACACACACACAGAGGCCAGAGAGACATGCATGTGAACATGGGCATTAATGACAGCAGACCAGTTCTGGTGGGCTGAGTGGAGGAGTGGGGAGGCTGCATCCTTAGTGGCTGCCATGACCTCTCTACCTCAGACATGAATTTCAATGCAATCAGTAATTATCAAGTGCCTTCTATGTGCCAAGCACTGTATTTGTGAGGCAGAAAGAGTGAGGAGAACTTTGAAGAGACCTAAAGTGAGCTGGGGAGAGAAGCTCTTGATGAGTAGAGGTGGTTCACCATAGTGTTCAGATCCAGTGCCACCTTGGGTACAACACTGCAACTCCCCTAGTTTCATTTTCTTCATCTATAAAATGGGGGTAATAATCCTACCTTACCTCTTGGGGTTGTTGTGAAGATCAAATGAGACAAAACATTTCAAGTGCTTTGCAATATTGGCTCTTGATCATGATAAAAAAAACCAGGCTCAATCCCCACCAAAGCCTCCCAGGAGTCCTCCTCCTGAAGGCAGCACAGTATAGTACAGATGGGATTTAACTGGATCATGAGACAGAGGGCATGGATTAGAATCCTTCTTTTGATGTTTGCTACCTCTAAGGTCTTTGGCAAGTTATTTTATTCCCTCACTTAATTTTCCTCATCTATAAAATGAAGAGATAGGTATTGGCGAGTTTAAGGTCCCTTTCAGCTTTGAAGTCTTTGAAGCTAGGATAAGAGTTACTATTCCTCTGTGTGGGAGACTTCCTCTGAGGAGACCTGATATTTCTTTAGAGATGGGATCTTTCTTCATCTCCTCCTAAAGAGGGACCAAGTGACTTTCTGGGTCCTGGGTAAGAGGCAGTTGAGATGTGGTTCTATTGTATCAGGGGGTTAGGGATGGGAGTGGAAAAATCTGGAGAGTGATTAAATTCATTTCCCTCATATGTACATGCTCCTAAAGAATTCCCACAGTTGTAGACAAGTCATATTCTTTCTCCCACTCATTTAAGGCTCAGCTGTAGTACCATCTATCCATGAAGCCTTTCTTGTTACTCAAAGTTTCCTTCCTTCTTCTGACTTCATATAGTCTATGCCACTCTTCTGGAACTTACCATATAGTGTCTCTTATTTTTATCTATTTATAAATCATGATATCCCTTCCTTACAATCCCAGGGAAATGATAAGCTCCCTGAAGGAAGGAGTGTGTCATCCACCATGTCTAGTAAAGTACCTCACACTCATCTGAAATTTACCATGGGGTATCTCCTATTTTTTATCTGTCTGTCTGTCTAGAGATATCCTCTCCCCAATGAGATTGTAAGCCCCCTGAGGGAAGGGAGTGTGTCATTTATAATGTCTAGCATAGTGTTTCACATTCATCTGACACTTACTATGGAGTGTCTCTTGTTTTTTATCTATCATCTGTCTGTCTGTCTATCTATCTATCTCTCTATCTATCTATCTATCTATCTATCTATCTATCTATCTCTCTATCTATCTATCTATCTAAGATATCCTTCTCAATGAGATTGTAACCTTTCTAAGGGAAGGGAGTGCATCCTCCATAGAGTCTAGAATAGTGCTGAGTAGGTATCTGAAACTTACCATGGACGGTCTCTTATTTTTGCCTATTTCTATATTGAAATATCTTCTCCCCATTGAGATTGTAAGCTCTCTGAGGGAAGGGAGTGTACCTTCTCCATGGTGTGTAGCACAGTGGTGAGTGCAGAGAAGGCAAGCAACAGGGTCATAGAAAGATCTCAGAGGACAGAATAAGAGTCTGAGGCCACATTTGAACTCAAGTCCTCCCAACTTCAGGGCAGTTGCTCTAACTGCTATGCCACCTAGCTGCCCCTTAGACTAACTTGTAAGGCCCTTTACAGCTCTAAATCCTAGGATCCTGTGACCTGGGTTCAAATTCTGTTTCTGTCTCCTTTCTGGGTTTTGATTTACTCATCTGAAAAATGAAAAGATTTAAACCTACTATCTTCTAAGATCCAGCCCTAAATCTATAACCTTATGATTGGCTACAGATGTTTGGATATTCAATTCAATAAGCGTTTATTAAGTACCTACTATGTGCAAGACAAATAAAGGCAGTGCAGAGCAGTGGAAAATTAGTCTTGGAGTCAGGAAGCCCTGGGTTCAAGTCCAGCCTCTGACACAGCTGGGATGTGACCCTGGGCAGATGATTTAAATTCTCATTGTCCTCAGGCAACTCTCTAAGGCTGAGTTGCAGGGAAGGCACTGATCTGCTGACCTGTATTGGGAAAAGAATTTTGTTTTTCCTGTTTTTTTTAATCAATCAAATTAGCCAATCAGTGTTAAGTGACTTGCCCAGGGTCACACAACTAGTAAGTATCTGAGGCAAGATTTGAACTCAGGTACTCCTCACTCCAGGGCAGGTATTTTATCGACTGCACCACCTAGCAGCCCCGAGAGGGAGTTTTCTCAATGGAAGTTCCTGATAGTGATGAAATCCACATGTAAGAGAATGTTTAAGGTGCTGTGCTTGGCACTGGGGGATACAAAGAGGCTTATACTCTTCTGGGAAAATACAACAGATCACCAGGTAAGTATATATAAGATCATTTGAAGAAGGTGAGAGTACTAAAAACTAGAAGGATCAAGAAATGCTGTGGGTAGGGGGTAGCACCTGTGGTGAGCCTTGAAGGATGCTAGGAATTATTAAGACTCAAAGGAAAGGAGGAAGAGCATTCCAGGAAGGGCTGTGGGGGGCACAGCTGGTACAAAGGCCCAGTGGCTGGAGATGGGAGGCTGAGTTCAAGGAACATCAACCACACCAATTTGGCTGGAACGTATCAGTTCTGGAAGAGTAATTCTTATAAAATTATGTTTGAAAGATAGGCTAGAGCCAGATAGGGAAAGGCTGTAAATACCGAACCAAGTTCTATTATAGGGTCCTCCTAACTGCCCTGGTTGGCATTGCTGTTGATTATTATTCATTCATTGAACTTCTCCAAGCTGTGCCGCATGGCATCCATTCCACCCTGATCAGAGGCTGCTCTGGTCTCCTGACCTCCACCTGCCTGCCTGCTGGGCGGCTAGCCCCACTCAGCTTGGGCTGCTACCTAGCACCATTTCTTCCCCATCTAGGGACATCTCAGCCTGAGTCCTGTTACCCTGCATGTCAGTAAAAGAGATGCTGGATCATCACTTTTCCTTATTCAGGACCATGGACGTGAACCTTAGAGATGGTTCAGCCTAAACAGCTTTTTGTAGAGGCAAAGCTTGATGTAGAAACTAGAATGTTAGCTTCTGACTCAGGAGTTGAAGGAGGGAGGGAGGGAGGGAAGAAGGAAAAATGGAAGAAGGAAGGAAGGGGGAAGGAAGGAAGGAAGAAGGAAGGAAGGAAGGAAGGAAGGAAGGAAGGAAGGAAGGAAGGAAGGAAGGAAGAGAAGGAAGAAGGAAGCTGGAAGGGACAGGGAGGGAGAGAGAAGGAAAGAAGGAAGGGAGGGAGGGAGGAATGGAAGAAAGATGGGAGGAAGGAAGGAAAGAGGGAGGGAGGGAAGAAGGGAAATGGAATAAGGAAGGAAAGAAGAAAGGAAGGAAGGAAGGAAAAAAGAAAGGAAGGAAAGAAGGAAGGAAGGAAGGGTGGGAGGAAAGGAGGGAGAGAGGGAGGAAAGAAGAAAGGAAGGAGGGAAGAAAAGAAGGAAGAATGGAGAAAGGAAGGAAGGAAGGAAGGAAGGAAGAGAAGGAAGAAGGAAGCTGGAAGGGACAGGGAGGGAGAGAGAAGGAAAGAAGGAAGGGAAGGAGGGAGGAATGGAAGAAAGGTGGGAGGAAGGAAGGAAAGAGGGAGGGAGGGAAGAAGGGAAATGGAATAAGGAAGGAAAGAAGAAAGGAAGGAAGGAAGGAAAAAAGAAAGGAAGGAAAGAAGAAAGGAAGGGTGGGAGGAAAGAAGGAAGAATGGAAAAAGTCAGGGAGGGATGGGAGTAAGGAATATTTATTGAGCTAAGTGCTTTACAAATACCTGCATTTAATCCTCATAATGACCCTGGAAGGGAAGTGTTTAATGACTCTGAACTAGAAGGAATGTTTGAGGCCATCAAGTCGAATTCCTTCAGTTTTACAGAGGTAGAAATTGAGGCTCAGAGAGGTTAAGCAACTTACCCAGGGTCACACAGAGAGGTGTCTTGGCTTGGAGAGTCCTAAAGTATAGCCTGGGACAAGTTAAATGGCTTTCATGGGGTGTCACAGCCAGTATGTGTCAGAGGGAGTACCTGAATCCAGGTCTTCCAGCCTCTAAGTCCAGTTCTCTGGCTACTATGTCATAATGCCTCTTACAGGGCACTTATGAGAATAAAATGAGATTAAGTATACAATCACTTTGCAAACCACAAAATACTATGTAATTATCAGCGATTATTAGTTGTTGTTGTTTTAACAGATGAGGAAACTGAGGTTCATAGAGGTTAAGTGATTGGCACAGGCTCATCTAGAGCCTGGATTTGAACCCAGGTCCTTGATTCCAAATCCAGTGGTTCCTCTCCCACCCCTCCCCCCATATTGGACCGTATGAGATTCTGTCCTTTGTTTAAACAGCTTAAATCACTTCAGAAGAGTGATGAGTCTGCACAGGAAGTGTTTGTTATGAATGTTTGTGTGGCCAGAGCTCAGATCCCGCTGGGTTTCCCAACAGGGATCCCTGTACAATCATGAGATCTTGAGAACTGGCCTTCCTCATATTTTGAGAGAATTGCTTTGAGAAACTGTTATTAAAAATACATGTATTTCAATCTTGCTATGACCACCCAGAGGAATGGTACTTTAAACTCTGCTAAACATTTTTTAACTTTTTAAAGGGGCTCCCAAGCAGCCGTTGCAAAGAACTCATTGAGTTGTCCCTGCTTCAGTGTCGATAAATCAGAAGTGTCCCAGCATATGGCGTTCTTCCAGGAAGCCCAGTGGCCTGACACAAATCACCATCAGGTCCTTCTCCCGCAAGAAGAAATGACAGAGGAATTCATTGGTCTACAAATACTACCTACTTCATCTTTAGATACTTGGAATAGTAAATGGAGCCTGGCATCAGAAGAATCGGAAAGGAAGCAGCTTGGGACAATGGAAAGAGCACTGACTTTCTAGTCAAAGGACCTGGATTCAAAGCCTGCTTCTAATGGTTACTACCTGTATAAACTTAGGAAAGTCCTTTAATTTCCTGGACCTCCATTTTTTTCCCACCCATTAGTTTGTAAGCTCCTTGAGGGCAGAGATTTTTTTTTTAATATTTCCAGCACTCTGCACAATGCCTGGCACTTAGTAGGTGTTTAATAAATGTTTATTGATTGATCTGTAAAAGGAGGTTGGACTAGATGGTCTCTGAGGTCCATTCTGGCTCTGGATCTATGAACCAATTACCCTGTGCCCTACTGTGACTTCTGACCTCCGCCATGACTGTGACGCCAGCGAAGCTTTTTATACACCTCCGACTCCTTCCTTTCCCATAGGCATCCACTTTCCCATAGGCTGAGTCCAAGTCCTTCCTATTATAGAGGAAAACATATACAAAGCCCATTCACACTCACCTGTGAGAGACTGAATATAGTTCACCTCTCTCAGGGGTGTTTTCATTTTAAAAGTGGAGTCTTAAAGAAAGCAATGCTGAATCCAAGGGAATTTGCAACTAATAGGGACACCTTGGATAGCAGTGGGAGATACATTTTTACTTATAGGACTTGCTGGTGTTTCTCCAATCAAACAATCAATTGATCAATGGCATAGAGGTGATGGAAAGAACACTGTCTCTGGAGTCAGAGGGGCTGGATTCATAAGCTGTTCCTGATTCTTACCTTGGGCAGGTTACTTAAACATCCTTGGTCTCAAATGGTACATCTATAAAATGAGTGGGTCGGACCAGATGGACTCTGAGGTCTGGATCGTGGGGCAATCAGGAGCTTTGCTGGTCGCTGGTGGACACCTCTGCTGAAAGCCACACCCAACACACCTCTAGGTAAATACCTCACCGAGTCACCGAATCTCAGAGCCCGAGAGGATCTCAGAGGATATCTAGTCCAAGAAGTCATGCAATCTCTTCTCAGACACCTCAAATGACAGAGATTCCTCCACCTTCCCCTCACCCCATTGTTTCTGTTTTCCTCTCTGTGTCCCTCTGTCACTCTCCATCCTCCCTCTTACAGATTTTGACTTGGAGCTAGAAGGGACCAGATGTCATCTACTCCAATCCCTTCGTTAATTCACATAAGTTAACATGTGTAAAATGCTTTGCAAACATTAATGTGCTATGTGAATGGTATTATTATCGTTAGTTTACAAATAAGTAAACAAGTCTATATGGAAGAAGACACTTACCCAATAAATGCCAGTAAATGGTAGAGTCAATATTTGACACCTAGCCTCTCATTTCCATATCTAATACCTTTCCTCTATGTACATACCACCCTGCTCCTAGCTATGGTCATCATCTCTCAAATGTTCTCTAACTTATATTGATAATTTCCCCAGTAAAATATTGTGCCCAAAACTGCATGCGATAGTCCAGATGTGGTCTGACCAAAGAGGAATGCAATCCAGATTACTGCTTCTTTCCTTCCGAAAACTATATCTTCTCAATGTAGCCTATGATCTCATTAGCAATTTTTACTGCTATTTCACTGACTAATACTAAGCTTTCAGTCCAACCCAGATCTTTCTCAAATAAACTATTATCTAACTCCTCCTCCTCTATCTGGTGTTTAGGAAATTGATTTTTTGAACCCAAGCATGAGACTTTACATTTTAATTCAATTAAATTTAGTCTTAACTTGATTAGGCCCATTGATCCAGTTAAATGTGAGCCCCGTAGAGCCCATGGATGAGACTGTAATGTGGTAAGCAGATATGTGAGAATATTTTGGAAAGACAAAACTCATAAGCATGTACAATGGCTGCCACTGCCGCTGCTGCCTCTGCTACTCTTATTATTGCTGCTACATCTGGTTAAGAGCAACATAGTGTAGGGATGAAGAGTTGGCCTCGCGATCAGGAGGACCTGGGAGATAAAGTTCCGTCTTTGACACATACCATCAGTGTGATTGTGGGTAAGTCACTCAACTTCTTAATGTCCCAAGCAATTTCTAAGTTCATGAGATCTAGAAGAGCTGCTGCTCTGAACTGGACAATTGCCACAACCTCCTGGTTGGCCACCCTACCTCAAGTCTTTCCTTTCCCATGTCCATCCTCCACACATGGCTGCAGAATTAATATGCCTAAATCATAGGTCTGACCATCTTACTCCCTTGCTCAAAAGGGTCACATGGATGGCTCCACACTGTCTTTTGGATAACATACAAACTTATTTGGCATTTAAAGCCCTTCACAATCTGGCTCCGTTCTTACCTTGGCAGGCTTATTACACATTACTAGATATCTACATTTCAGCCAGACTGGATTGCTTGCTACTCCCAGGCATGGTGTCTTTCTCCCAGCTCTGTGGCTTCGTACAATCTTTCTCCCATGCCTAAAATGCGCTCCCTGCTCCCCTGTCTTTAATAACCCCCACTTCCTGCAATGCTCAGCTTATGTACCACCTCCTACTCAAAGTCTTTCCTGTTTCCCTCAGCGACTAGGCCCTTACTTAAAATTACCTTCTTACATGTTTTGTACATATTTTATATTTTTAATATGTGTTCATACTGTTTTCCCTAAAAGAATATAAGTCCCATGAGAGTAGAGACTAATTTTTGTTGTCTCTGCATCCTCAGAACCCTAGGACCTTGTTCTTTTTGAGTCATTTTTCAGTTGTTTCTGACTCTTTGTGACCCCATTTGATTTTTTTTTTTAGCAAAGATACTGAAGTGGTTTGCCATTTCCTTTTTCAGCTCATTTCACAGATGAGGAAACTGAGGCAAACAGCATTAGGTGACTTGCCCAGGGTCACCCAATTAGTAAGTGTCAGAGGCCAGATTTGAACTCAGGAAGATGGGTCTTCTTGACTCCATAGTGCACCATATGCACTATGTCACCACCTAGCTGTCCCCACTGAGGGCCTTAGAGGTCATCTAGTTCAGAGGTAACACTCCCAAGTATAGAGCCAGATTAAAATGTAACTGGAAACATTTAACAAAATAAATATAAGATACAACAAAACATAAATCATGTTAATATGTGCTCTTCTAAGTCAGCATGCACCCACTGGGATTCTGGTGTATGGTTTAGAGACCTCCATTTCTATCTGAGTTTGATACCACTGATCTGGGTTCTCTCATTTTTCAGACCAGGAAACTGAGACCCAGAGAAGTAAAACAACCTGCCTGGGTTCACACAGGTAGAAAAGAGGAAGAGATGGGATCTGAACTCTGGTCCTTCGTTCTTCCCCTTGCTCCAGAAATTTAACCCATGTGTTCAAAGAAGTCAATGTAATAACATTCTCCCTCCTACTTAATTGAATTTGTTTTAATTATTTCTTTTTCTTTTCTTTTTTTAATGTCAAGAACTACCCAGTTAATTTGAGGGTATGTTTCCTGCTGCTTGCCTCTAGCACCAAAATTCTTTGTTATGTCTATGCTTCCAAAGATTTCACAGTAGGGGGAGCCCCTATCTAGTCTATGAACCAATAGGGGGTACCGATCCCCACCACCACCACCAACAAGGAATCAAGGAAGATCTGAACCTAGATCTATCCCATTTTCTCTACCTGGGCCAGGAAAAAGCTAAAAACTGCGTTTAATACATCACAGCATCATAGATTTAGCACAAGATGACATTGAATCCAACCCCTTCACCCCATTTTACAGATGAGAAAAGTCTGCACAGAGAGGGTAGATGAATTATTCAAGACCTCATAGCTAGATAATCAATGTTCAATGTAGCCAGGTCTTCCTGGCTACAAGTCTATCCCATTAGACACTATAGCATGCTACCCAGGTCTATTTTTGTTCCAAAGATTAGGCTTTAGCACGTAACTTTTTTAGATTAGAAAAGTGTCAGCTTCTAAAGGCAGCAAAATCTGGGGACTGTGGCCTTGCTCCATTTAACTTTGTGTGCATCCTGGGCCCCAAACTGCTCTGACTATTGCCTAGACTTGCAGAGTTCTTCCCTCTCCTCCCTCGTGACTGGTTTCCTTGAATAAACTCTGTGTTGTTTTTGCTTGTGATCGGCTCCAACCTCACATAATTAACGCTGAGCTCATTTTTCATCACCATGGTGTTTTCCAAGCAGAAATGTCATGGCTAAAATAGAAATTCGTCATCACTTTCCTAAGCATTGGGTTTCTCAAAATCAAAGTAGCTCTTACACTTTCATGGCCATTACCATCATTGGTGAATGATGGTGAAGCCCTCACGTATGAATTCCTAAGAGAAGCAGCTATGATTTCATTCCTCCCCCAACACAGATGGCAATGATCATTCTCAGTATAGTGGTATCAAATTCAAATGAGGCCGTGAAACCAGACATAAGGAACCCTGTGGGCTGCATATTGACTCAGAAAACTACATAATAGCATTCTCTATGGGTTTTTTTTTAATTTTTATTTATTTTGTAAAATATTTCCCAATTATATTTTAATCTGATTATGGTTCTGGGGCATGTTGTGGGCCTCATGTAGCGAGCATGTTTGACACTTCTGACTTAGTCCATGAGTCCCAGGGAGCTTTCTGAGGTACAGAGAATCAACCAGGGTCCCACAGTTAATAATTGTCAAAGATGGTATGTGAACACAGGGCTTCCTGGCTCCAAAGCCAACACCACGCCACCTCTTTTCCTCTTCTGAGATTACCTCAGTACCTAGCAGGGGAAACTGAGTTAGGAAGAGGTTTCTGATCTCTTACCTTTGCCAAAGGAGGCGGCTATTCCATTCATAAAGTGGGTGAAAGGCTTGTTAGGGGAGCCCGGGATATCCAAAGACACCACAGAGTTACTGCTCAACAGATCAATCTTCCCCGCCTGCTGCCGAAACTTCCAGCTCCCTAGACAGGAGGTTGAACTGCTCACTTTGGGTCCGACATTTCTCTTCCAGTTCTCGAACCTTGGACTGCACAACAGGGGCATGGAGTTAGGGTCAGTGGGGAAGCAGGCCCCCAGAGTGGGCTGGTGTGGCAGGAGACTGGCTCCTGGTGTGTAGAGTGAAGAAAGGGAAGAGTGGGTGAAAGAAATTCAGGATATGTGAGGCCCACATAGACTGCCAGCTGAGTCACTGGCCCAGTTCCATCCCGTATTAATGTATAAAATCAGAGGTACCCAACTGTCTGGCAAGCATTAGGAAGATGCTGCTCAGGATTTCTGGGCAGCCTGCATCTTTTGGGAGTTGGAGGAGGCAGCCTCTGTCTCTGGGAGTTTGATTTGAAGGCATTAGCCTGGGATGTAGGAGGAATTGGGTGGAGTGACTCATTGACTGTCAGTCTGAGGCCCCACATTGTTAGACATCCCTAAGAAAGTAGCCTTTTTCACTGGGGGAAACTAATCTTGGTCTGTCTCTACCAGGGTCAGGTCTGCAATGTAGCCCTTGCATAGGATAGGATATATGTATATGTTGTCTTTCCTGAGAGAGTAAGGATTGTCGCGTTCTTTGTATGTGCATCCCCAGTGCCTATTCAGAGTGCATGGCACATAGTAGGTGCTTAATGCTTATTGAAAGATTGATTATTCTGGTGAACACAGTTAGGGCAAGAACAGTTCATAGGCAAGGGCTTCACTTTGGACAAAATTGGGAAGGAAAGTTCAATCAATCCACCCATCAATAAACATTTATTGAACATCTTCTACACACCAGACACTATGCTAGGTTCTGGGGATCTAGACAAGGGCCAAAGAACCCCTGCCTTCAAAGAGCTTACATTTTAAAGGTAGGGGGGGATGACGTGTAACATATATACATTTAAATAGATATAAATATATACCAAATCCATACATACAAAGTCTAACACCTTGGTAGATGGGGGGGGAGGAATCAAGGAAGGCCTCACGTAGAAGGTGGTGGCTGAGCTGGACTTTGAAGAAAAGCTCAAGAAGACTTCAGCCTTACCCTTCTATCTCCTCTTTCCTCTCAGGCCCTCCTTCTTCCCACCTGTCTGCCTCTACCCAACACAGCAGAGCTCAGCAGGAAAGAGGGAAAGTCATGGCGTGCCACCTCCCAGGGTCCTTAGCATCCTCATCTCTCACTGTGACACGTGGGGCTGTGAGCTTCACTAGCTGGGTAATCTTGGGCAATCTTGCCTTCACGTCTCTGAGCCTTAGTTTCTTCATCTGATAAATGGGGATAAAAAGAGCCCCTGCCCTCCCTCGCCTGTCTACCTTATAGGGCCACACTGTGGATGTTCAGGATACTTGGGGCAGATCGGGCAGGGTAGGAAAAGCTTGAGCTTGAGTTTCACCCATAATACATGACATTCTAAAAGTCTTAGTGGCATTAATAGCTAAAACAGCTATTAAATAGCTCTTTAGGGGAGGGGAGGGGAGAGGAGGGACAGGAAGAAGCATTTATATAGTACCTACTATGTGCCAAGAATTGTGTTAAGCCCTTTTTACAAATATCTCATTTGATCCTCAGAAGAATCTTGGGAGGTAGGTGTTGTTATTACCCCATTTTATAAATAACAAACAGAGGTTAGGTGACTTGCCCAAGGTCGTACAACTGATTAAGTATCTGGTTACAGATTTGAACTCAGGACTTCTTGACTTGGACTAATTAATTAATTAATTACTGACAAATAAATAAATAGATTGTTGGTGAATTCCCTGACTTGTTGAAATTTTTAAAAAATATTTATTTATAATGTATTAATTTAATTATTATTTATTCCTGATGTGAAGCCCAGCACCGTATCACATATTTAGCTAATTAATTGATCTTAGGCAAGCATCTTCATATCTCTGATGGTGAATTTCTTCATCTGATCAAGGAACATAACATAAGAACATTTGTCTGCATGCCCTTTCCAACCCGGCAGGGTTGTTCCAAAGATCAAATAAGCTGATCAACAGAAAGGAGCTTTGTGAATTATAAGATGCTATTATATACCTTTAAAGATTATTAATAACAATCATCATTTATAATTTGCCTCACAAATAATGATTCACATTTATAAAATGATTTAATGTCTGCAAAGCACTTTACAGTCATTGTTTCATGATATCCTCATTAAGTCCCTTCCAGGAAGGTGCTATTATTATCCCCATTTTACAGATGAGGAACCAAGCATTGATTAAGCTCCTAATGTTTGCAGAGCCTTGTGCTAGGGGACAAAGGAGATATGACATTTAAATAATCTCATTCCTTGCTCTCATAGAACTTAGGGTCTCGCTGATCTATATAATAAAAGGTTTTGTTCTCATTCAAGAGATTTCAGAAGGAAGGTGGGTGGGCTAGAGATCCTTTCAGGGAGGGAGCATGACCAGTTCCCTTGAAATCATGTACTACACAGACAATCACTGATAAGTGTCTGAGGGCAGATTTAAACTCAGGTCTTCCTGACTCCAGGCCGGGTACTCTATCCGCTCCACCAACTATTTAATATAAGACCTGCTCAGTTCCACATCATTTGATCACAAGGTCTCAGAGTGGGAAGGGATCTCAGTGGCTATTTAATTCAACCCATCCCTGAGCAAGAATCCCATCTACGATACCTCTGACTCATAGTCATCCAGGCTTTGCTTGAAGTCCTCCAGGGACAGGAACCCACTACCTCTGATCTGGACGCTTTGCCTTATGGGGCATCCCTTGGCAAAGGCAACGATTGATACGAATTCTGTACACTCCAACCTCATTCAAAGTTCTGGTATTTTAAAATGGCGGTCAGTCTTCCCCCCTCCCCCACAGGCTCAGTGAGCCTGCTGATTTCCCTGGTACAGAATGAAGCGCTATTTGTTTCTGTGAACACAGCTTTCTAAAAATAAGCCTAATGAATTCCAAACCTATAATTAATCTCTTCAATTCATAAAACATCAGTAAGTTTATTCCTGCTCAGAAAAAAAAAAACAAACGGAATGGATTAGGCTGGTGATTTAGCCTTCCTACCATGGAAAAAGTAATCAACAACTGAAACACAGGGGCTGCTAAAAATGTCCTTCCAAGTAGATTACCTTTGTCTTCCTTGGCCTCTTCATATCTAGCTGAGCTCAGTCCCCCCCAAAACACTTCCTGAATTAACCTTGACTCCATTTCTGCTTAGAATTCCCTGGTACCAGGGGCAGCTAGGTGGTGCATTGGATAGAGCACCAGCCCTGGAGTCAGGAGAACCTGAGTTCAAATCCAGCCTCAGACACATAACACTCTCTAGCTATGTGACCCTGGGCAAGTCACTTGACCCCATTGCCTAGCCAAAAAAAAAAAAAGAATGTAGGTCACAGATTATAGAGTCACACAATCTCAGGGTGGGAAAGGGACTTCACAGACAATATGAACCAATCCACATTCCAAGAAGAATCCCCACTATAATAGATCCAACAAAAGGTCAATCTAACCTTTGCTTGAAGACCTCTAAGGAGGGGGAATCCCTTCACTCCTGAGGCTCAAGGTCAGACCCAAGGTCAGAGAGGAAAGGGCAGCTCCCATACATTTTTCCAATCAAGGAGAGATAGCTTGATGCAGTAGACTTGGATTTGGTTGTAATCTTGGCTCAGCCACCACCTTTGTGACCTTGGGCAAGTCTGTTTCATTTTCCTCTCTGAAAGGGCTAGGCTAAATGACCACTAAAGTTCTTTTTAGCTCAAAACTCCAAGATTGTAGATGCTTAAAAGATAATACTTAGGGATCCCTTCCCTTAGTCTTATAGAGTCAAGGCCAGCGACTTGGATATGAAAGAATAGGAGGAGTTTCCTCATTCTTGACACTCCTGGGAAGGAAAGACAGTAGGCTAATTCAATGTGAAATAATGACAATATGGATATTCTTAGGATGAGAGCTAACCCAATTCCCTCATTTTACCAACATGGAAGCTAAGGTATAGGGACACTAACAGTGGGCAAATTAATCAGATGTAAACTTGCCCAAGTCACAAAGGTAGTCACAGCTGTCTTACCTGTTACAGCAAAACAGAATTTGAACCCAGATCCTCTAGGACCAAGTTGTTTACATCCTCTGGGACCCACCATCCCCTCCATCTCCACCACAGCACCTTTTCCCAATGCTGATGGCATTTCTACGCGCTAAGGTTAGACCCAAGGATATGGAGGACAGAAGATAGGCAGAGAAAGGAGTAAAGAACCAGTCCCTACTAGCAGAAGAAAACTATGTGCCACTGAGCCTCCTGCTTCTTCCCTTTCTGTAAGCCACACTATTCTGCACCAGGCTGGTTTATTTGCACATCAATATTTATTTTGGTCATTTAGAGGTTTGTCATCTCCCTGGTTCAGCTTCTTTGCTGGGTGGGTTAGGACCATGACTCTGCATTAACCCTCTGCTGCATTTATAAATCACTGTTTACACTTGTCTCCTGATTCTGAGCCACCTGCAACTTTGAAAGCAGTACAGAAGCCCAGCTCGGAATCTGCGATAAGACGCCGGCAGTCAGTGGGGGCAGCGGGTGGCGGCATCGCCGCCATCAAGCAAATGAGCTATAATTGGAACCAACAGCAGAAACTTGCAAATGTGGGTATTTATAAAGATGAGTAAAACAAAATGCAAAAACATGATTTCGAAGATTCCTTTACTTGGTTTTTTATCTGTTAAACTAACTGGGTTTCTCTGACACAGGAGGACTCTTAAGGATTAAACTCGGTGGCGATACATATATCTCTTTGTCTGGATACAGATACGTGGAATAGCATAGTTACTAAAAACTGAATGTTAGATATGTCAGCAATGAAGAAGGTTAATTAATAAATTCATGGCATTAATGAAGTCATTAATTAGGTTTCATTAGTAAATCCATTAATTAGGGGTTCAGTAGCACTGTCTTTGTTAGGGTCCTGTTTCTAATTCAATGATAACTCTAAACATTTATTTATTTTATTTAATTATTCCATTAGACAGACTATGAGTCCCTTGAGAGCAGGGACAGGTGTTTTGTTTTGTTTTTAACCTTTCTTTTTATT